TAGATCCTCTGCAATTTGCATATGGTAAGAACCTTTCTACCGAAGACGCCATTAATGCAACCATCCAAACAGCCCTTTCAGACCTCCAAAATAAGGACACCTACATTCAAATGCTGTTTACAGACTAGAGTTTTGCATTCAACACCATCATTCCAAACAGACCGTTGGGAAAGCTCTCCACTCTTGGACTGACACCCTCCCTCTGTCGCTGGGTCCTGGACTTCCTCACAAAGATACTCAATGGTACAAAGATAGTGAGCACAGGGATCCCCCAAGGCTATGTGGTCAATCCACTCCTGGACACCCTTTTCACCCAGAACTGTGTCTCTTCCCAGTTCAACACCTCCATCATTAAGTTTGTTGGTGGGAGATGATCATCATGATGACTAAGGAGATGATTGTTGACCCGAGGATGAGGAGAGACCAGCACGCCTCACTATACATCAACGGGACTCAGGTGGAGAGGGTGAAGACATTCAAATCCCTTGGTACCCACATCAATGAGGATCTCACCCATAACCCATAACACACAGCAGATCATCAAGAAGGCTCAACAACAACCCTTTTATCTAAGGAATCTGAGAAAATTTGGATTACCCTCCAAACTGCTCAGCAACTTTTACAGATGCGCAGTGGAGAGTATTCTGACAAACTCCGGGAATGGACATAACACCATTCAGGAAAGGAAGGCTCTCCAGCGTGTCTCTAAAATGGCGCAATTCATCTGCGGAGTACCCTTGCCATGCTTAAAGTTAGTTGGGTTTATTCTAACTTATTTCAGTTAGTTTTTTATTTAGTTGTTTGAAGGGAACTTGCAAAATAACAATTTCATTGCTCAGCGTAAGCATTTGTGTTTTGCAGTGTATATGACAATAAACTTCTTAAATCTTGAATAATTCTTTGATAGCCCATGTGTTTAAAGCTGTTTGAGATATTGTACTAGACATAAAAACAATGTATGTCTTTGTTCATTGTTGTTCCTGCACTTTCTTTCGGATTTTCCTCCTTAAGTCTTTGTCTGAGAATTGCACACCTCCGGTAAACTGGAAGTGAACAGTGCAGAGGAAAAGTGAAGACAAAGTAGTAAGAAACGGTCTATTCATTAGAGTGCGACACCGTTTGTGCAAAGAGGACATTACAGGTCATGAAATTAGTGCAAACTAGTGGTAGGACTGAGCTCAAGTGCTATCTGGCTCCATCTGGTGGAAGGAGGGAGGGCCTGCAGGTCGCTCCCAACCCCCTGGTGGACGCAGTTGGAATCTTCTGGTGACAATAACAACAATGTGTCAAACAATGATTAAAGGGAAGCAAAGCTCTAAGACTACGATGACCTGGATGTCTGAGAATCTTCACAGACATCGTGTTGTGTAAAATCTTGAATAAAATTGCAACCACCAGGTGAGCTCGTCTTTTAAAGTGAGGTTTATTAAAAGAAAAAGAAAAATACTGCAGAAAGGACACCACCCTGAACTATTTTATACCTCCCCAAACACTCTCAAACAAAGAACATTCCTCATACTCAAGGTAACTGAGGCCAGAAAAGCAGCTCTAGATGGCTCCACTCTGGTCCACCTTTGCCGGCAAGCTCACCTCCACCATATCAAGGCACAATTCTTGAGCAACCACCCATGCAAGCCTCACTCATGGTGGTCAGATGTGGAGTTTTAGAAGAGAAGGCAGCTGCACTACCACATTGTTTTTATTGCATGTTTTTACCAGATTCAATAAAGTGTTTACTGCTTGGGTGCAGCAGCCTTTCTCTTTGAGCCACAGGTCCATAGTACCATGTAAGCCA